GCGGCTGGAGTAGAGGCAGGAGCTTCAGCAGACATGATTGCAAATGACAGACAACCAGAAAAGCAAAGGGGAGACTTGATAGTTGAAGTGAGAGTAAAGCTAGAGTAGATGATGTAGGTTGAAGTTCCAATTCTAAGCCGGGCATCTGAGGCTCTTTATAGAATTTGATCTCATGTCTTCTTACCTGGTTGCCTTGTAATTGTTCCTTGATCAGCTGAGAGGTGAGTGACAGAGGCGCTCAATAATTGCGCCTCATTATGCAGTTCGTGTTTGCCTAGACAGGCGAGTGTTTGACAGCAAATAGTGATTGGCCTTGTCAAGACACCATTCACTCGGTGATGCCGACTGCCTCCGCAATGTTTCGGAGAAGTGATGGAAAATACACTTGTCACGCCGCGTGACAGCGGAAGTGAAGGGAAAATACGGCTCGTCGGGGTCACAAGGCTCCCGGGACATATGACAAGTCAACTCGCTGTCAATACCCAAGTGTAGATGGGTTCAACAGGCCATCAAGCCAGGAACCTATAGATGCGTCTCCGACAAGTAAATTCAGACTCACAAACCCCGCGCTGAGGGAATCTGGATTCCCGGGGGCATCAGCGGGGTATCAGGCAGAGACAAGCCACGCTGATGAGGCTTGCAGGAACTGTGTATCACAGATTACTCGCAGATACGTCTCGTTTCTATGCATGCTTAGTACTCGAGAATTGCCGATTCAACTATGGGGAAAGTGCAGCTAAAACCTCTGAGCTCTTGCTGCCCAAGATGCTAACATCAACTGCGAAAAATGAGATGAAGCCAGAAGGCAAGGCCATGATATGCTCAGATATAACATCATCAGTGTACTATAAGGCCCAGGGTTTAGTTCCATCTAATACACAATGCAGCATCAGTCGTGATATCCCACATCTAGAGTCGTTAGCACCATGCTTCAGTGAGGGTTGGTTCCACCTCGAAGGAGCTCAACACAATACACAACTCCACGCCCAAATAGATCAAAAAATAAAATAAAAATTGTAACACGAATGTCAGCTCTGATTGGGAAAAAGTATTAACTGCCGACAAAGGGCAAAAACATACAACAGCGGGGATTCGCTGATCGTCACCGACTCAACTACTAATCCGCCCCTTAGCAGCTTATCTATGGGAGAGCAGACGGGATCCCGAGTTCTCTGGTAGGTATGGTCGTATGTGCTAGAGGGGCAGCACATGGAGGTTTAAAGCATTACGCTTTGCAGTTTCGGGAAACTCAAACTGAGGATTGAATCCCATGTCTCTAGACCAGTGTATTGCAGACCAGGGGACAAGAGATGGTCTTGGGCCTCTTGGACAGCAAGAGCCACATAACCTGGCTAACGATGCCTTGACTCTCTTGAGTACCAAGTGCCAGCTCAAGGATGAGTTCATACCAGCAGGTCCAAAGCGGTGCCTAGATACTTTGGCAAAGAGATGGCCTTCAGTTGGCCTTATCCATCGATACAGAGCTACAACTAACTCTCATGTAGTTGATCGGTCCGCCTTTCTTCCGAACCACGAGCTAGACTGGTAACAGGTGGCGCATAAACCGATGCATGCACTCTAATCAACCTTGATGTCCACCTGGCAACTCCCGAGCGCACTCCCTTGATCTCACCCAACCACACCCCAGGATAAATCCTTCGCCTTTACCAGCATCCACTAGCTAGTCTCGCTTGATGTAATTGTCTAATAAGGCTGTTTGACTCATAAAAGGGGTAAAGGAGGCTGCAATTTTGAATTTAACATGTCGAGATCAGTGCAAAGCAATAGTTGTTTTAGGTAAAAGGAGGAGAAGTTAATTACTACACCGTCCAGGGATTAAACAGGACTATAAAACAACTCTAAATTTGCATAACTGAGGAGATATAAAGTAGAGCCGCGTAGGAAACCATAAAATCGACTTTTGAATCTGTAATTCGTCCTTCTCTAAGCCGATGCCTTCATTGCGACGCGTCTTCGTTGAGGTGATATCGAATACCCTACACCTCGGCAAGCTCGGCATTACCGGGGTATTCTCGGCCCATTCCGCACCGAGATTTACTTCAGAGGGGCCCAGGCTAAGGTGGGGACAGCATGATCACGTGCGTACGCGTGAACCCCGTCGCGTTTCCCTGCCCCACCATTTGTTTATCGCATTCAGCTCCACCAAAGGTCAACAATCTCACCTTCGTTTCTTCACTGCTTGCACCCTCTTGTTTCACTTGACGCCCAATCTCGCATTGCGATACTCGTACAAGATGACAAAGAGCGATGCCAAAGCCCGACCTAGTCCATCATCTGCCTCCCCTGGGCCTTCGGACCCCGACAACTGGCCCGACAACTTCGAGCCGACCGACCGGCAGATGCGTTCCCTTCGGCGAATCGAGGCTGTGATCGGCCAAAAGCCTTGGGAATGGCTGGCAGAGTTTCTTCCAAAGCAGTAGGGATGCACCATGTTGAGCACTCTGGCCATGATTCTTGAGCACGCCGACGCCAACCCAGAGTTCGAGATCAGCGATGTCAAAGCGTTTCTGGGCCACAGCGTTGTCTCTCACGACGATGATTCCGACCTTTCGCTTCGAATGAGCGACATCAAGGCTGCCAAGGACAAGTTCGTTGACCCGCAGTTCAAGTCGATAGCAGCCTCTAGACGTAGGAGCGCCGGAGCCCAAAAGGTGGCTGACCCTGCTCCCAACGACGAAGCTGGCGAAAGCGAGCGGGCGGGACCCAGCGACAAGACGGACAATGCGACGCAGAAAGATGGGAAGGGCAAGCAGCGAATGGAACAAGTCGCCGGAACCGATGACGAGGACGAACTCACTGCCGAAAATGATCACCACCAGCTCGAACCTCAGAAGCCGGTCCCGGTCCAAGTTCAGTTGCCATTCATCATGCCAAAACCCTCGCAGGCAGCTTCTTCCGCTCAGCTTGCCACCAACACCGTGTCTGACGCCCGTCCTCTGGCTACGTCTACAACAATTCCGGCTGATAGCCCCAACATCAAGAAGCGAGAACGGTCCGTTACACCCAGCGGCATCTGCCCTGCCAAGCGTGCTCGCCACGATGATGGTACAGCCGCACAGGAATTGGTTAGTTGCTCTTAGATCTATTGCATGGTCGCTTGCTATCGGCAGTGTCCTGGCTAACCAAATTGATCAGCTCGCAATTCGATCGAAGCTTATGCACGCTACGCCCCCCTTCCTCGAAGCTCTGGCCGGCTACATTCGAGCTATAGAGCGCCAACACGTCGACTTTGGCCAAGAGTTCTCTCAAATCTCAGAGTCACTCAGGCTGCGAACCGATCCGTACCGGGCAGCGTTGGACCGCCGTAAGTCTGCTCAAGCCAACCTTGCTGCGATAGAGGAAAAGATCTCGGGGTTGCTGGTGGAGGAACAGAAGCTCAGGGAATGCAAGAAAACCCCCGATGATGCCAAGGAAACGTGGGAGCAGATCTCGGAAGAGAAGTTTCAGGCGCTCCAAGAGGCACACTGGGACAAGACCACCACCAACGTCACCGAGCTGCAGCGCGCCGAGTGCGACCGCAAAGCTGCTGCCCAGGAAGTCGAAGAAGCTCAGATGGCTGCCCTGCCCGCCTTGACCATCATGAGCGAGACTCAACCCAGGCTACGGGAGCTGAGCATGACTGGGAAGGCCCTCAATCTGCAGGCGAAACACCTCGGCATTCTCCGAAGTCTCGTAGTGCTTGGCGCCCCTGCCATTGACGCTCTGGATGGCGAGCTCAAGGCGAGAGGATTCTCCCTCAAGGACATTGTCCAGCGGATTGGACAGAACCTGGAGCCCACCAACACTACTCAGGATGGCTCTGGACAGCCATCATCCGAGCCGACAGCTTAGGGGTGACTTGTTTGATGTCGCGGATGAGTTCGAGCACGGAGATTGGGATGCGCAATGTGTATTTGTGGCGAGACTGTTGGTTCACACATGGCTGTCTATGGGGACTGGGCGTGAGGTGGGAGGAATGTGTGGATCATGATGAACTTGGGCTCTATGTGAGAGGATGGGCTTGGGACAACTGGAGGTTCGGGACGGACTAGGCCTAATAGATGCCCATTTTATGCGATGGATGTAATATGTTGTACTCTTACCAAACATGTATGCTTTGTCAGTATTGACTTGGTCCTGAGTGAATGTGATGATGCTCTTGGAGATGGTGGAGATGGCACTAGAGCGCACGCGCCACTTGAGCTCGTGACTGACCAAAATTTTCATCCAACAAAAGAGGTCGCGTGGCCCAATGGCAAGGCGTCTGACTACGAATCAGAAGATTCTGGGTTCGATCCCCAGCGTGATCATTTTTTTGGTCTTTCTTTTTCCTCTCCGCCATGCAGAGCCTGCCTTGACTTTGTCCGCAGATTGGGAATGGTGGTCTTTGTTACTATTGATGATTACCTAGAGCACGCATTTACTGAGTGCGATGGTTGGGAAAGGTAATAAGCATCTGCCCTCTGGCAAAAAACACAAGATCAAGGACAAGCTGAACGTTTGTCTTGACCTTTCTCTTTTATTCCCTTCTTTTTATCTGCTACCAAAGCCACTAAAGTCAAACTTTCTAATCCCAAACAGGTTTCCAAATGACCTGAAGGATTCCTTTGCGTTGATCTGTCTGGCTTTGGTAACTGCTCTTCACTGTTCGTTGTTTAACCGCTGTTATCGCAGGTTGATTAACACTGTTCTTTAGGGATGAGTGAGATAGACTGGGTTAAGTACCCTAGACTTGAAAACGTCGTGAGGGAGACGGACTGTTATAGTGGTTATTCTGAGGGCTGGTGTTTAGCAGTACATCTTTGTAATCTCCTCTTAGTACTACGAAGATGGCTGCCCCTCAGGCGTCACGTCAAGCCAAAAAGATTCTTCGGCTGCAAGTCCACCAGGACCATTTGTCTACACACACTGATGGTTGACTCACCACCTGTACCAGCTTGACATCGCCGTCCAACTCCCTCGCCTGCAAAAAGACACGACTAAGGACGCGCTTCAAAAAGCTCCGGTGCGGGGAGTCGAACCCCGCTCGCCGCGGTGAAAACGCGGAATGATAACCGATACACCACACCGGATCTTGGATGCTGAACAGGCCGAAGAGTATCGCCTCATGAAGGTGAGGACGACGAACTAACCAGCAAGTCTGGCTCTAAACATTCTGCCAGCAACTACTTGAGAGTGGAGATGGCACATGATTGCCTTTCAGACTTGAATCCATCATGACAGTTGCCCCTGGTTGGGGGTGTCTGGGTTAGTATGCCACGGCACGCCTGGAGTTACCAGGCCCTTAATCATTTACTCTGATGTCATTCATTTCTCTTACATCAGTTCACCAAACGTTTACCTGCCACTGACTTAAGCTTGTTATAGGTAGTTAGTGAGACTGGCTGAAAATAAGTTTACCCCTGCCAAGGCTTGGGTTCGGTACAGCTCTGCCGTCATGGCACAACTGAAACTCTCGATATCCACCAACAAGGCGTCTATTGCCCAATAACGAGTTGAAGAGAAAATTAGAGTTTACGGTCAACGGTGAGCCAACTTACAAAGCCCCGGCTTCGGGCGTTCGGAGGTCTCGGCCATACCGTATCGTCCGACGAGGGTTGATTCGAATCGACATATATGGATGCCAAGTAAACTTACAATCATTAATGTCTTGAGCATATGGATAATGACCAGGGCAAGGATGGTTTGATGTGGTGGTATCCGCACATGTCGAATTACGTGCGATGTACAAAAGTCCCGCAGCATCCCTGCCAACTCTGTCCAAACTCAGCTTTATCTAACACGTGCCGCCAGGATAGGCGATGAGCCCATGATCGTAAGACCGATTCCGGAAGGTTGTTTCGGCAGGACTGGAGGGCCAAATTATCCTATTGGACGAGGCTTGACGGTATGGCATGTGGAAAACATGAGCTCCAGATTCGAATTAGGAAAATGCATAAACTCCATGAATCTACTGAAACGAACCGTGAACTTAAAATCGTCAAATGGATATGGGAACTGAGTTCAAGAGATGATACAGAGTCTTTGGAGCTGAGATATCATTCTCTCAAAACCTATAAAGAGGCAGTCTCGGTCTCGTAGGTTACCACGATCAGAATCAGCTTCAGTACCATCTTTCAGAACAACACCTTCTTTTACCACATTATTTGTTGATCAAATATCCTTCTTTTCAACCCAATCACTCATTTTCAACATGCAGACCAAGTCGATCTTTGCTCTTGCCACACTCGCTGCACAGGTGCACGCGTTCCCCTTCGAGGCCTTGTTGGCTCGCACCCTTCGCCCTCGCGATGTCATTGCCCATGATGCTGTCAAGACTTTTGAAGAGATAGTCCAGACTGGAGCTATTGGCGATGCCATCAAGAAGTTTGAGCCCTTCCTTCACATCGCCCACGGTTGCCAGTCTTATCCTGCTGTAGATGCCGACGGAAACACCAGGTATGTAAAGTCATGCCCTAGGACTGAACAGGAGCTAACAAAGTCTTAGTGGTGGTCTTCAGGACACTGGAAGTGCTACTGGCGGTTGCCGTGATCAAGGCAAGGGACAGACCTATGTTCGCGCCAAGGAGCGCAACGGCCAAATCGCCATCATGTACGCCTGGTACATGCCCAAGGACATGCCCAACAGTGGAGTCTCTACTGGCGCTCACCGTCACGACTGGGAGAACGTCGTCATCTTCGTCGACAGCGCCGGCGCCCAACTCGTCAGCGCTGCGGCCTCTGGTCACGGCAGCTACAAGAAGACCGACTCTCCTCAGCGTGAGGGCGATCGACCCAAGGTCGAGTACTTTACCAACTTTCCTACCAACCACGAGCTTCAGTTCACCGACACTCTTGGCCGCGATCTTGCCTTGGTTGACTGGGATGCGATCCCCCAGGCTTCTCGCGACGCGCTGAACACCGCCGACTTTGGCAAGGCGACTGTGCCCTTCAAGGATGATGTCTTTGATGGTAACCTGGACAAGGCTGCCTCTTAAGAGACATTCGCCATATCAGCATGTCATGTTGACACTTGGACGGATCAGAGCCTTCGGAGCTGGTGGCTGGATATGGGCTTGTACTTGTAAATATTTGATCGAGCTGTTTTCGTGAACTGTGCTCACAAACAATAAACTCAGATTATTTACCTAAATTCTAGCTGATAAGGTGTGATTAAAGGAACTGTCAATCTGAATATGTTTACTTTATCATTGATCTGTAACTTGACGTTGAATCTAAACTGTGACATTGCGAGTAGATCAATGAGAGATTTTGCCAACCAACCCAAACACGACACAAACTCCAATTCTGAGTCTTTTTTTCTTCAATGACCTGACAGCAGTTAGTCATCGACGTTGAAGGGTACTTGATTGGTGGGATCCTGGTTACCGACTGCATTCCAACAACCAACAACCAACAACCAACAACCAACACGCAACCTTCCCCTCACTACTGCATGTTGATTGATCAGGTGAAACAACAGCAAAGCGTAGAAAGATACGGATTAAGATGGCTGATCAGCAAGGAGAAGAAGAGAGAATCGAGTTTGTGAGTGCAGTTTCTACTACGATATTCTTCAGACACCACAAACCCCGTCAACTTCATGGCTAACGCGTATGTGCTAGGACCCCGACATTGTCGGCGGTGACGATGGTGACTCTGCCATCGACTCTCAGAGGTCAGCTAGCCTTGAATAGCTCGAGAAATACTGTGAATAATGTGCTGACAGGTCTGGAAACTCAGCCGGGTCGAGTCAACGGCATCCATCACCTCAAGTATTCTTGAGTATCGCAACATTCATGGAAGAACTTACCAATCTTCAAAGACGACGGAATACTGGTACAGAGACCAGAAATACCTACCATTTGACGAGCTAAACCTGTTATAGGGCTCCCAATGACGAGAAGCATGTGGAAGGGTTCGACGTCGGGTATGGTAGACGCTGGCAACTCATAGGACCTTGCTCACTTATACTTATAGTCATCACTGGATCACCATGCTCTTGGATGATAAGCTTTACCTCCCACCAATTGGAGACAGTCCACAGGTATGATGGACGGCATAATGGTACTATAGTTCATGCTTACACGTAAATAGAGAATCCTAGACGTGGGTACCGGCTCAGGAATTTGGGCAATGTGAGTATAGTAACTGACAGTCTGTTATTGCTATTCTAACAGTGACAGTGACATGGCAGATCTTTTCCCTTCGGCACACATCATCGGCATCGACATCTCACCCACGCAGCCCAGCTGGGTTCCACCAAACGTGAGCTTCCAGATCGACGATGCCCAACTCGATTGGACTTTCGAACCCGAGTCGTTTGACTTTATTCACATCCGCTCGCTCCACGGAGCTATTGATGACTGGCCTAAGCTCTATGACCAGCTTTTCAAGTTCCTCAAGCCAGGAGGTTGGTTTCAGCATATGGAGCCAGGGATTGCCTTGCGCTGCGATAACCCGGCTATAAAGATGGACAAGGACCAGTATGTATTGACAAGGAAGATCTCTAGGATAAATGTGCTGACTACTTTAGTGTCTTCAAGCAGTGGTCTCAGCTTTTCTACGACGCCGGTGATCGACTGGGACGCACCTTTGACATCACAGATAAGAAAATGGAGAATTGGGCTCGTGAAGCTGGATTCATAAAGATCTCCCCCAAGACGTTTAAACTCCCCTACGGTGGCTGGCCCAAGGACCCGAAGCTCAAGGATCTAGGCCGATATGTCAACTTCTACATGGACATGAGCTTGGGTGGCTTTGCGACTTATCCCATGAGTCAGATCCTTGGTTGGAGTCTTGAAGAGATCACGGTCTTGGTTGCCAAGATGCGGGCTGCTATCAATGATCAGAAGAACCTGCCAAACGGTGACATGTACGTGTTCTCCACGCGAAGCCTTGCTTGCTTGCTTGCTTGCTGACTATCTCGATAGGTATGTCACCTACGGCCAGAAACCATCGTCGTAAATGGCCTTGTGGTGAGCAGTTTACGGATGAAAAGACTGCATTCACTTCCAACCTAGCATGGGTAGCACATTCAACAAGGACAATATTATTAATCGTAAAGTTCCGTTGGTGATAGTGCGCAGTTGTAAAAAGGGATGACCTCGAGCCCTCATGTTTTCTTTGAAAATAGCCTCCTGAAGATACTCGGGGGCTTCTCCTGGCCTGTTCCTACCAAGGCGTACAGAGCCGCAAAGTCAAACACTTCCTTGACCCCTTCGCCAGTCTTGGCAGAAGTCTCGAGGTATTTGACGACCCCTGGTAGTTTGCCCGCCTTTTCTGCACCCTATGAATTTGTCAGCATGTGTTTGTCACATCTCAGGATTCTAGGCTTGCCTCTTCATAAGTGATTGGGTGGCAATCTATCTTGTTTGCTTCTCGGATTACTTTAGGGTCGCTCTCGAGGTCCTTCTTGTTGCCCACAAGTATGATGGGAGCATTTGGTAGAAAGTGTTGCACCTCGGGCATCCACTGATCAGTCAATAGTTAGCAGTATTCATTCGGTAACTGACATGGAGTCTAACCGTTTCCTCGATGTTATCAAAACATTCTGGTAAGCTCTTGTCAAAGACCAACACGATAACATTGCCATTGGGATAACAAATAGGACGCAGGCGGTCATAGTCCATCTGGCCTGGGGTGTCGGTCATGGTCATGTCGACTGTTATGTCTGCGAGAGTCACAGTTGTGTAGAAGGTTTCTAACAAGCCTGCGGCCTCGTGAAGATGGGCCACCTGGAGGAGGTTCATGTTAGAGAAGATTTGAGGATGCTTCCAGTGGTGCATACCTTGTCAACGTTGCCATGTGCCTGATGACTGCATGTATACGGTTAATAAATGACATGCTCAGAACTAAGGTGCACTTACTGGAGCAACAAGCTCTTCCCAGACAAAGTATCGCCCACGATAACTAGCTTCTTCTTGACCGGGGCTCGCAATAGGCGCTCATGATTCTCAAAATAGTATTTGTTCGACAACAGAAGCTGTTCAGCTTCGCTGCGAACGATTGGAGTCGCCGGGCGGATTGCTGGGGCTGGGACTGAGGCTGTTGTGGTCAAACTATCTGGAGACTGAACTGTAATTGTGGTTTG